TTATAGACTCTCTAGCAATCAAGTTTGTCAACCTTTTCGTGCTCCGTCGGAAGGCTTGTGAAGAGTGTTGTCTTTTCTTTTGTTATCACCTTGGTATTCCATTGTCTTAGTAACGATCGCAATCTTTGGCTCAGTTCACAGGAAGGCAGGAATATCCACTTTTGATCGTCCTGATTCCTGATAAAATTTTCATAAAATCCGAGTTCAAATCTGCTCTTCATAATTTCTGAATTTTTTTCTATAAATTTTCTTGGGTACTCGTTACTAAGGCAAATCAAGGTCAGTTTCCCCAGCTCCTCGTTCCAGAAATTAGTGTCATTTGTTCTTAAGCTTCTGATGATAATACTCTTCGTTATTCCGATCTTAAGTCTGTAATTGTGATGATACTGGAAATTGAGGATTAATCCAATTTGTGATTTCTTTCTGAATAGTCTACTCTTGAGTATTCCGTTGGAGCGAATAGCCTCAACATCCAGAAAGGGTAGTCGCTTATCCTCCTCAACCTCCATTCTGAATTTACTTCTTCATTCAATATGGTTTTTAATTTGCCGTAAATAGCCCATTCATTTAGCCTAACCTCGATCATCATAAAATATTCTCCTCAGGATAGGACTGCAGTTTAGACTTCGCCTATGTCTCATCCGTTTCACAGCAAGATTCGAAACCGGGTCAAGAATATCGTGGAGATATCTTACAGCTCCACCTCACAGTCACAGCTACCAATTGACCACTAGGTAAATGGAGCTTTTAAGGCAAGCTAGGCTTCTACCAAATCACATTTTCATGATGGGGCTATAGATGATTCAACTATGTACTTGTCATTATACCAGCTAGTATTTAGTGTCTTTGGTGTTAATAACAAATCAAACATAAGATTAATACTATTCTATCTTCTGCACCGAACACTAAATGCCGTCTGTTCATTTCCTAATTTAAGTTAACTATTTTTATGCACTTCCCTTCATGATAGACAATTACACAACCCTCCGTCAGCCTGTATGTTCACACAATTAACAACCCTCGCAATCACTTTGCAGTACTACTAATCATTTCCCTAAATCATTGTCTATCATGCTCAAGTTCATTTGATTAATTTTCAGCACGCTACTCTGGATCTATACAAGGTCGAGAAGCTGAGCAGAATGACTTGCATTTATTGTATGAACTAAATAACTCCGAGACTCCGACTGGCCTGATGCCAATGTGCGAGCAGTTGGCAGACCATTCACTGAGATTCCAACGTAACTGTCACAGGAACATGGTCAAATTCAGCGGACGTTTGCACAAGGTAATGGGTGTTGGAAACGGCCTCGGAGGGTCAGGCGAATTCACTTCCGAGGAGAGTGGAGTCGGGCTAGGTAATGATGCCTCCAATCTTAAACTCGAGCTACAAAAGACTGGATTTAATACTGCCAGGGATCAACGACCTGGAATGCTGTTGTCACGCGCCTTCAACGACATCCTCCCCGAATGCGACCAGGAGGGATTAAAAATATGTCAGAATGAAGGAAGAGATACAGACGCTGGTGGTAGTATGGCAGACCGTTTACATGGCTTTGACAAGGCGAGCAGTAGAGTGGCAAGATGCGGTAGTTCAGTTAGTCCTGAAACCCCATCCGAAAGAGAGAATTATCCGCAGGGTAAATTGACCCTCGAGGAGACATCTCTGGTGCAGGGGTTGCATCTTGCTTACAGGGAAAGTCCTACGCATTCGAATCTGCAGAATGCTGAAAAGACAAAGGTGAATAAACGCTATACAATAAAAGACAAGTGAGACGTCTTAGTTTGTTTGTCCTATTTTCGCATTTGCAGTCCATTAGCCCACATCCAATTTTATGCTATTATTTTTTTGCTCTAATGCTAAGCTATATCATTCAATAATGATCAAATATTAGTCGCCCCAAAGATGGAATAAAATTAATTGTCACGTGCTCAACTAAACTCAAATAAGTGTATGGATAAGCGAAAATAATGTGAGGAAAGGCTCAATATTTCGAAAGCAAGCTGAGAGAACTACATAAATAAATTTTAACACGTGAAAAATAGAAGCTATAGGGTATATGAACGCAGTATAAAAATACTTTCACTATTTATTATATGCTTTTTTGATCTAATTATGATTATTGCACTCCTCCTTCCTTAAGATGCTGATAAAGTCTACTTAGCCGAGCATTATCACTAAACTAATTTGGGATGCACTAAGGAGCAAGTTCATTAAAGATAACCTTCAAACATAGCGACCTTATTGAAGCGTACGAAAACGAAATAAATGCTTCTCAAATCAGTACGGTTTGCATCAGACAAGGAAAACTGGCCTACTTATACTGGATGCTCTAAGCTCCTGTTTAAATGTTCGAAATTTTCAAAAACTTTTCTAAAATCAAAAGTTTAGGTGTCAAATGATCTCACTTAGTAAAAATTTATCAGGAGGTAAATTATCCATATTTAGTCTATGATTTATAGGCTATTGGTAAACTTCTGATGTTTCAAATAACCTCAACTTTAAAATTTCTATTTTATTTTGTTTGCGCAAGTGGCTCAAATGTGGGAGGGGGGCTCACCGGGCATGCCCTTGGGTCGATGAGCAGAATGATAGTATAAAGTACTAGTAGTAAAATAACCTTACAATTGCAACGTTGATGAGACAAAGCTCGTTTCCAGCAGCGGCTCTTCTGGCAGGCTCTGGAAATGTCATCGAAGTGTCTAAAAATCAACTTATCAAATTGATATAAGTTTGATGGCCTTTTTTTCGCAACTTTGTCGTATTGTCAGGGCTAATTAGAGGAATGCACAATGTCCGGGAACCATAGTATATATGATAATTTCCAGAGTCATACTATTTGACCTTTTTTGAATTTCTGCAGACGTTGTGGCTCCTTGGTAAGGAAATGTCATTAGGGTACAGTTAAAAAAATATTTTATCACGCCCCTATCCAGAAATTATAAGAAAATCACGAGTTGAGGGGCATTAGCTATTTAAGCGGAGATACAAAGACCAAGATATTGTGGCATCTATTTTATTAACAGTCTCCTTACGATGTATAGTAGTTGCTTAACCTTGTTTTCTTCGCACTTTGTCCAGAGTCCATAGTATGTATGATACTTTCCAGAGTTAGACCGTGGAATTGGTACATTATTATGCATACTATGGACTCCGGACAAGGTGCGTTCCTCTTAGTCTTCCTGCCAAAATGTAGGCAATTCTAATTCATACTCATTAAATCTAGAGTCAGGTAGGATCTAGGCAGGATTCTCACTCAGGATGATTTTCAACAATTCTAGAACATGACTAACCAGAAGTCTCAAAGAGTCCGGGATTTGATTAATATGAGGTATGACAAGAAATTGCTTAGATATGGGATAATAAGATATCTCAAGATCCAGCCAACCTGACCAAATTGTGATGCGTCTGTATTAAAGGCATCCCCGCTCCAAACGTGATGGGAATAGGGTAGTAAACATGTCCTCGGTCCATCTTGCTTTTCAAACCATGGATCTCCTGAAGAAAGAGTTATATTTTTTCACAGGCAACGAACGAAACTTTTTAGAAGATGTTTTTGTGAAGGTTGTGAATAACTCAAAGAAATATTCATATAAAAACTAATTGGAGATGGAAATGGAAATAATCTCGAGAATCGTGACGCATCAATAGCAATAAACAGGAGCTGATTGAGGAGGATAAGTAGCAAATTGCACAGGAATGACAAAATAGCTTTTTATGTGGATAAAAGGGAAGCGAAAATGGTAATTGATTGGAAAGAAGACACGGATTAAATGGAAAGTAGGCTAAGTGAACGGAACACTTATCAAATACTCTAAAAGATCCAACCATGAATAGAATGAAATACGCAAGGATACA